ACGGATTAGCTTTAATTGCTAAAAAAACCCTCTCATGTCCTATATGTGCAAGTTTTTAAAAACAAATGTAATCTTTCTTGTATATTTCTACTTGTGGGTGTTGAAATTCAAGTGTTTCAAAGTGTTTTCTCTGCATTTGGATCTGAAAACACGCAACGATGCTGCACTTAATAAAAGATGATAGGAGATGCGTTTGAACAAGTTTGCAGCATTCTCCAGCGCGAGCACTGAAGTGCAGTTTGTTGATTTCTTTTATCCTGTTCGAGCTCTTTTTGTAGTTACTCATGAATCTCCAGTGTGGCACACGGCGCTCTGAGGTCCTTTACTTAAAAGCTTGTGCCAAATATGTTTTCTTCAAATGTACAACCTTTGTTCCACTGATGAGAAGAAAGTTGCTTCTTTAAATTATTCAGCGGTGAAATTTGTGTCATGTGTCTGGATCAGTTTGGATTTTGGTGGAATTCTTGAGCAGCAATTAAATATTGAAACAGAGCTTCCGCAGTCACACTCCAAATTGAATTATTCTGTTCACTAAACCATCTGAGAAGTGGCGTGTGCACAAACACACAGTTTCCTGCACACGCAGCTTTGTTTCCATCATTTGTTTTTTGGGACTTCCTTCATCCTCACAATCTCATTCATACACAAACACGCACAGACGTGGAAAGGCCACAGGCTAAGTGGTGTGACTGGCTTAACAGATGTGAGTCATTTGTCAGACTATTGACCCAATCCGCTGGATAATCTAAATGCCAATACGAGCCAGATAGAGCAATGCTAATCCCCGTGAGTGCTCGGTGTGTGTGCCTCTCCTCATCGTCTCTGCTCTGCCTCTTGTCTTCTCTGGAGAGCTCTTAGCTTTGTGGCAGCTTCCCCAGAGGCACAGAAAGGAAAAAACCCAAACGGACGTCTCACCAACAGGATGAACCAGCAGCTCCAAGAGTTTCAGTTCCACCTTTATTTGGGGATATTTGTCCCTAACTTACTGTTTTTCAGAATTTTTTAATTTACATAAAGTTTGTTTAATGAAACATTGCTGTTCCTGTTTGAGTGGTGCCGTGGTCGAGTGGTTAACACGTTCACGCCCTGTGGTGTCTAAAGAATAGATGGATGGAGCCACTGAAGACCATCTGATTTTTCATTAGTAGGGATATTTAAAGTAAAGTCTTTCAGGGATTATTGGATGTTCCAGATCAACCTTCGGTCTGACTGGATAAAATAAACTTAATGTGTATATGAAGCACTTTCATTAAAACTGACTCCCTGGGTCTCATCCATCATAATTTCCATCCACAGTCTTTTCCATCAGATTTCTATTTCTGATTCCAGGTTATGCAGAGTTCTGCGAATACAAGATGTATTGTGCATGAGATCCACTGTTTGCAGTGTAAACTGAGGTCATCATGTGTTTCCTGCCAAGTTTTATGTCGTCTACAAGCCCCACCCAGAAAATGTTGTGACGCTATGTAAACTGAAAAATAACTGTGGTCTGCAATGATTTGCAAACCCCATAAACTGACAGTTTCTCCACACAGAAACACTGAAAACACACGTTTAAATTGAGACATTTTACTATGCTATGAAAAATATGAGCTCATTTTAAATTTAAGGGTTGCCACATGTCTCAAGAAAGTTGCGATGGGGGCAACAACACGGACGTCTTCAGCACTAAAGAAGACATCGACCATCAGGCTTATTATCAGCTCTCAGTCCCAAAGAATCTCTGATGTGTGGGGGAAGCATTGATAGCAGCTTTCATATCTGGAAAGACGTCATCAGTGCTGAGGTCTATGCCGGTTTTAGAGTCATTGAACAGTGAAGGTCTTCGTGTTTCACATAATGCATGGAGTCTGAACTGGCCTGTCTGCAGAGCTTTCATGAACTGAGAGCATTTTGAGCATCATGAAACAAACAACAGGACAAAGAAGGCTGAGGACAGATAAGAATGGGACAGCGTTCTTCTCCCAAAAGTCCGGCAGCTGCTCTGCTCGGGTCCCAGACGTTGATGAACTGTTGTTAAAAGACGAAGGCCTGTCTAACGTTTCTGACACATGTTGCTGCCATCAAACTCAAAATAAGCCTTTTTTCTTAAACCTGTACATTGTCTCATTTAATGTGTAGATTTGTAGATGATTCCATTCTATGTTTTTAGTTACATTTCAAACAGCTTGCAAACATTTTCAGTGTTGCGTCCGAGTCTTATCCTGATAAATAAGATGAGTGATTATTAAACATCTTTCCAGAAAGTTTCATCTTTATTAAATTATTATAATCAGCACTAAATTTGCATGCTTTACTAAAAGGGTAATGAAATGAGACAGACTGATTAACTGATGTTAATTTCAAACTTCTGTGATGATCTGTGAGTTACAGCTCTCCTGTGTACATTACAGTAAGTGAGACGCATGCTGTTCTCTTTGGTGAGCCAGAACAAAAGTCCTCTGATCACGATTACATACGTTTGGATAACAGGTGGGAGGAGGAGGAGGATGGAGTCACGCTCGAACAGCGTTCAGAGAAGATGAGGTCAAGAACAGGATCCATCAAAGCTAACAAGCTATTTACAAAGAGAGCGTGTAGCATGGGAACAATGGCAGCCGTCTGTGTCGAGATAGACCGAACACTGGTCGCTGCTTCGGCCTCGGAGGGCTACAGCTCCGTCTCCTGGCGCGCTCTTCACTGTGCTTCAGTGTTTTTTCTTGTTGTTTTTTTAACACAGTCAAACTCCAGTTCTACTTGGAACATGACAACTAGAAGTTTGTGGGACATAAAAGGTAATTGAGCAGTGGTTGGTTGCATTTTACACTTGGTCAGGGCAAGACCGTGAGAGCATGACAGGGTCTCTGACGATGCCAGGGACTATGATGGACTGCCTTTGAAAGTCACAGCCAACAAAGAGAGACACACGGGGATGAAGGGCTCGAGGGAGTTGAGATTGTCAGTGACACAATCCAAAACAGTGACAATCCCAACTGATCGCTGCTAATAGTGGAGACAGAGAGCATTACAGTGACACAGAGAGTGACAGCGACGGCAGAGAGCGAGAGTGACGCTGATGATACGGAGACAGATGGTGACAGCAACACAGAGACAAAGCCAGGCAGAGACAGATGCAACAGTCCCGTCGGTGTGAGCTGTGTGTCCTCGCTGCCACAGACTGCAGTCGGCAGCTCAAACTACAGTTTGCTGTGTGCACAGTAGCTGATTTTTTAAGCCTTTCCTTCAGATTACAATCTTCTAAAATGGTTATGTCGTCCAATGTCATCTTTGAACCGCAGCTGGTAATAGTCGTCCGTCTGTCCTGTTGGTCCACTTCTAGCTGGAGAGCCTCTCACACAGAACCCAGGACAGGCGGAGAGCTCGTTCATGAGCCGCTACGAGTGAGGCTGCAGAGTGGTGGCAACTTTTTGGCGAGCATCTGATTCATCAGCTGTTTGTCTCAAAGTATGGCAAAGAAGAAAAGCCTTTAAAATTTCCATATCTCCACCTAACAACAATACAAGGTACTGTGTTGTGTCTTTGGGAAACACAACAGTGATTATTAGAAACCGACCTCCTGCCTGCACCCAGGTTTGACTAGAACAGCGTTACTTCAAAGTGAAAGGATTTGTGGGCATTAGCAGAAATGACTAATGCCTTGGACTCCTCTCTCGTGGTCTTTTTACAGGTGGTATCTAGTTTTCTTGCGACCTTTTTAAAGATTTGCTGAAATTTGAATTGCAGATGTGGCGCTGTGTTAATTCAGCTGTGTGTAAAAATTCAGTTTTCACTGTCTTTTTTTATGTGTTTGCTCCGAGGCGGCAACAGCTCTCAACCCTGCTGTGACATGAATAAGTTGGCAGCATTATTACCGTATCTGCAACTTTTGACAGCTTTTTCATGCTTTCCATCATTTTGATATCTTGTGATTCTTTTTCTTAAAAAGTCCTAATTTAACAACATCAGGAACAAAATGACATGTGCAGCCAAGTGCGACGCCTGAGCCCTGCAGAGGAAAACAGCACTGACAGCGAGACCTGCAAACGGCATGCACAGATGACACGTTGCGTAAACACCCAGGGACTAAATTTGGAGACTAAGAGTGGGATTGGTGACAGAAAGCATGATTGTCCAGCGTGAGCACGACTTGGTCTTAAAGCTGTCTTTGTCTTCAAGGTCAGTTCACCACAGACTCAATGGGAAAGATGTACAGTCTTTAAAAACAAAGAGCCTTTATCAAAGCAGACAGTTAAACAGACAAAGACAGTTTTAAGATCTCGTCTTGTTCTGCGTTCAGACACACCTGTGGCCTCCTGTCTGAACACCTACACAGACGAGAGGACAGTATTGAGTCGCCTCGTGGTCGACGCTATCGCTCTTAGAGATGCATTGAAATTGATTTGAACTGTAACCATTTTTACCTCGTGACCTGGAGACTGTGCTCGCATCTTTTAGCATTACAGCTGCATTTGTGCCTTAACAATAGTTATATTCATAATAATGTCCGCTGCCCTCTTAGCCAGTTTACTCATGATTAAGACACCAGTGAGACTTTAACCTGCACGGTTAGATTTCCTGATGATCAATTTAACATTGCAGTCCTGTAACAGAGCCGCTTGCACTGACTGCATCAGCAGGATGAGCTGTGAGGCCCGTTGTTTACTGGGTGTACTGGAGCAGTCATGAGGAATATGAACATCAACAGTGCCTGGTACAGCACGGTCTGGATGTGCTCAGTCAAGCTCTAATGTCTAACGTCACCCTGTTGTCATGGGACAGACACGCAGTGATGAAAGCAGACGAGGGCATTACTTTGTATTTATGTGCTTTGATAACATCCTTTGATCAGTGATGAAAATAAGCTGTTGCCGTCCAAAAGTTCAGACGCCGATCTTTCATGCCGTAACCTTTTTCTTGTATTGCGTGCATGTTCGACAAATGTCAGAGCGTCTGCAGCTGTTATCATTTTCTCTATCTTCCTAGGATCTCATCTTTTCCTGTCTCTCTCATTCTCTCCACAGTCATCTGCAACTTCCGAGGCTCAGTGACTCAGGGTTTGGCTCTGGAGGTGGGGGAGACTGTTCAGATCCTGGAAAAATGCGAAGGTAAGGCTTCTACCTGATTGATAGCTTCATGAGATGCTGCGGGGGCGGAAGTTTGATGCAGCGGTAATGTCATTGATCATCGTTACGACTGTAAGCATCAGTAAACATGGTAAATATCCCCCAGAGCGAGCATTTTCTTTGCATCTTGCTCTTCTGTTCAAAGGCGTTTGCATGCATATAGAATAGAAACGGTGAGAAGAGAAACAGTGCGTCTCCCAGCAGCACAGCAGCCAGCGCAGGAAGTCATAACTCTAATTTACAGTTATTTTCTGCAAAGATAAAACATGTATGTCATCGCTCAGGTAGATATTACATAATAAGTTATCAATATATGTCCTGTTCCCTGCAACAAAGTTGTACAATCTCATTTCATACACGACTGGTTTGACTGCTGTAACCTGTAGTAACGCTAAACGTACCTTTCCAGGTCCTTATGAAACACTCTGGCTCCAGCCGTCCACTCCACTCCAGTCCTCACCGTAACCATAACCCTGTCACGTTTTCCAAAGTGATTCAGGATCAGAACATAAAACACATAAAACACATTTACAGGCTTTCAAGCCTCGAAACGCATAACACAGACGATTCATCAGTATGTTGTAGGGGTGGGGGAAAAAATCGATACTGTGTAGCATCGTGATATTTTGTTTGCTAATAATGTATCGATACAGGGACA